CCCCCGTCACCAATTGCGTTTGTACACACTGCGCGACGGTGCATCGATCGCTCGGAATTATCGTCCCGCTGATAACGTCGTTTGTCCGCGACGCCAATTCGTGGCTGCGACGAATAACGATAAGAGAATTGATATAATTTCATGATATTAATGGACTGGGTGCATTTCCGCGACAGTGGGCAACTATTGGAAAGAGAATGAGAGTTTCGGGGGGGCGCTCCACGAGTATGCGGAACGTTAATTGCGCTTTGATTTCGTTATCCACTTCATCCGGAGATCTGTTGTGGGAGAAGATCGAATCTAATAAATTCTCGTTTTAATGACTTCGGAAAAACTACGACTTTTTGAGTAAGATCATATCTGAATATATTATCATATCTGAATCACAAGAAAAGAGAGAATACGTCGTACTTTTTGAAAAAAAAAAAGCTCCAGAGGCGAAAAGAAGGGATACAATTTTTTTGCGCGTTAAAAAAATGTAGGTACTGAATAAAATAAAACTTCAAGAAAATCACTTTTTATTGACAATTCTTATCTCAGCATAGTTTTATAAATAAAAAATTTTAATTAACGACGGGAAGATTTTACGAAGATTATGTTATCCTTAAAGGAGTAACCCTATTCCTGAGGGATCGTGGGAAATCGAATCCCGCGTTGAAGAAAGAAAAAAAACCACTCGCGATGCGCCGCACCTCTTTCGCTCGCGCGATTGTCGCGTCGGCTCCGGTTGATTTGTAGTAATTGGTGGCGTTTAATCGCTTATATACGCGCGGGCGAGTCGTCAGCGCGACCCGGCCGAGCCACGCGCGCGTGGAGGTGCAACGATGGACAATTACGCTTCTTTGCCGGATAAAAATTCGAGTCACGTGCGGAGGCCGCGCGCACTCGCGGTTGCGACTTCGACATTGACGATCCCGCACAAATTGCACCTGCCTCCGCGTCTGGAAAGTTGATTGAAAATGACGCGGCGATCGGCTTGAGTCTCTAATTGCATCTATTCGATATTTCGCTCGATGAAAAAAATATTTCTGGTATTTGCGACTGTAATTGCACGGTAAAATATTACGATTGTGTCTATCTTTGCGTTTAATAAAGTCCGGAAAAATTTCGGCGCGCAGTTTGAATAACTACAAAAATATAGTATGCATGTATATATATATAT